GTATTTATTTGTATATGCAGGGTGAAAACCTTTACTGAAATAAATTGTATCTTGAAAATAACTTATTTAAAAAAAATCACCTCTTAAGGTTCAAATGCAAAGGTATGTCAAAAAATACATCATTTAAAAAGATCGTTTTAATAGAAATTTATACCAATATGCTATAGTACGTAAAATAGAAGCAAAATGTTCCTAGACAACGCCAACCTATTTTTGAAGATGATGCGAATATAAATGGGTGAATCTCACGAAATGTCCCCCGTGATATTTAATAAAACTAAATGAGTTTGACCTACACTTTTATTGTGTTTTGATCTTTTATAATTAAGTAGATATTACAGCTCAGGTTCCAGATTTTTGACCGCAATTAAATATTTTTTACAATGTTTTAAAAGTCTAAAACCTATCCTCCGTGACTGGTACTCTTTTGGTTAACCTATATGTTTTCAAATATCTGATTTAGTAAAAACTTACTAAAAATATCAGTTCACTAAGTAAATTAAACACATCCAAAGCAATCGAATTAAATATAAAATATTATTAAAAATTAAAAGAAATAATTTTTATAACCATTTATGTAGGTGTTACAAAAATTGATTCTATCCTCCGTGAATCTGTTTTTGCTTTAAATTTTAGGCAGCGGATGGCGCTTTAATCATTTTAAATAAGCAAAAACCTCTGTTTACGACATTATAGATGCATGTGATTCCTGAAGGTCAGTTAGAATTTATGTGCAGATGAGAGTGTTGCTGTTTTATAAATCAAAAGTTTAAGTTCATTAATTTGCTATTTAAAAAGCTATCCACCGTGAAGTGTAATATCTCAATAAGTAGATTTTTTTATAAATATTTTATAAAATATATAATATAATATATTTATGTCCAATTATATTTTTAAAAACTATTAAGGTGTCAAAAGATACAATAACTTATACAAAGGGATGTTTCATACGAAATCCTAACCTCCGTGAAGCTACCTTCCGTAAAGCTCTAATATTCAAAATGGATGATTTCTTAAAATTCTTGCATAGTGCAGAACCACTTATGTTATGTTATTACTAGACCTGGTGGCCCAAAAACCCCATTCAAGACTAACAGTGAAACATCCAAAATTAAAAAATAATCATTTGACTTGGGGAACATCTTAATATATTCACCCAAATGTACTTGACAAATTGCTCGCAAGAACAATTTGAGTCACACCATCATAATGAAGTTACTACATGGTTTAAAAATGCAAATAGTAGGTACAGGAACTTAACGAGGAATTAAACTTTGAGATCAAATGATGAACCTAATAAATGAAAAACAGATTTCCTTAGATTGGATACTATTTTTCGATAAAAGTAGGTTCACTTTAAATGCTAAACCTAATCTCCCAAATTGAAGAAATTGAAGCGACCTTAATTCTTATAATTGAAGAAAATCACACCCAATACCTAAACAGCAGATTCTACGTACAAAATTAGGAAAAAAGTTCCAATAAAGATAGGTCGAGAAATGCTTTCCAAGAGAGCTACAGCCCCCGAAAGAGGAGCCCTTGATGATGGTTTTTATTTAATATCTCCAAAATCGTTTAAAATAGAATAAAATGCATAAAATGTCACCTGTCTTGAATAATTTTTCTTAGACATGGCAGCCATGTTTCATGGCCCAAGCTCAATCTTTTTCTCTAATTGTGATTTCATTATGAACTTTTATGCCATGTAAAGTTCAACAAGGGAACTTTTGTTGTATGTACACCTCCAAAATAAAATATTCTGACATCAAGACACGTAAAAAAAAGTAAGGGTGGTTTTACCCTTGTTATTATCTTATTGGCCATAAAAATTTTGATCAATTCCCGATATTTCACGTTTCTATCTTGAACGGTTTTGGAGATATTAAATAAAAACCATATTCAGGGGCTTCTTTTTTTGGGGGGCTGTAGCTTTCTTAGCCTTTTTAAACAAAACTACAAATGATGAAACTTTCTTGAAGAAGATCTTGTACCATATTTGGCAGATCAGTTTCCAAACCAAGACGATTCAGACATCAGATAATACCCTTTGGTTTTAGCAAGATGAAGCTTCACCGCAATACGCAATTATGTATCGTAAGACCCATTTAAAAATCGACTTTTTGACAGTACAAATTCCTAAACCACTTGTTCCGAAAATAAAAGGGGGATTTTACGTCCGTACTGTATATACAGGGTGTTTCTTTTAACTTGAGACAGCTCAATATCTCGAGAAATACGCATTTCACGGAAAAATGTCTTAAATAAAAGGTTAATGTGACTAAAGGGGACATTATTTGGTGCTACCGCTAGCCACCCCCTACCCCTCCTTAAGGGTGAAACGGGGGGTAACTTTGGAAAGTCAAATGGAATGACCCGATTTTTTTCACAGAGTTTGGTAGTACATAAAAAAATAAATAACTTTTATGTAAAACTTTTTTCAATTTATCAACAGATGGCGCTGTAATTCAAAATTTAAGAAAAATGAGTTTCCTTGTAAAATGTATTATTTGAAACGTTTGAAAAACAAAAATTAACATTAACAACAATAGTCGGCTATGAAAACAATTTATAACAAATGTTGATTTAATGTTAATTTTTGTTTTTCAAAGGTTTCAAATAATACATTTTACAAGGAAACCCCTTTTTCTTAAATTTTGAATTACAGCGCCATCTGTTGATAAATTGAAAAAAACTTTCAAATAAAAGTTCATTTCATTTTTTTATGTACTACCAAACTCAGTGAAAATCGGGTCATTTCATTTGACTTTCCAAAGTTACCCCCCGTTTCACCCTTAAGGAGGGGTAGGGGGGTGGCTAGCGGTAGCACCAAATAATGTCCCCTTTGGTCACATTAACCTTTTATTTAAGACATTTTTCCGTGAAATGCGTATTTCTCGAGATATTGAGCTGTCTCAAGTTAAAAGAAACACCCTGTATATATTTTAAGTTTCTTTTTGTGCCAGCCTGTATAATAAATTTGGCAATGTAGTAATGTAGCATACGGTTGTTAAATGTTTTCAATTAGTTTTTTCTGAGTTTCATTTAAAGAAACATTAGCAGCATAAAAACTGTAATACATTTCGGTAATACACGTTAATGAAAAATTTCCCCAATTCGGAAAGTTTTAGTTTAACAGACAGGCAACTTCTAAAATTGATCGCCCCAAAATTACTTGTTGGGGTATCTTTTTTTTATTACTTTTATATGGCCATTTACTTTTGTGGCCAAAAAAATAAACGGATAACGCAAAGGCGGAAGGGCAGCCAAATATTACATCGCAAAAAATACATTTCCAAATAAATATAAAAGTTTTGCAAAAAGTATCCACTTTTAACATAAAAATAAATATGGGTCCACCAGTCAAATTATGTACCCTTATAACCTCATTATCGACGTTTTCTCAAATAAAAATCACATTATATAAAAAAGTTGGGTTTGACTTTACGTATTATGGAGAACGGAAAAATATATTGATTTAAAATTTGTACAGCAGTTATGTAAATTATTTTTTTAAATTATTTTTTATGCGTTTCAACTTCTGGTTAAACCGGATGTGATATTAACTTTGTTTGGAACCTTATAGGTAAATATTATAGGTAAATATTATTTCATTTTAAATTCGACGTAAATTTTTTTTTTATTTTTATCGTTTTTTTTACAGATGGATTACCTTATGTATGTCGTATGTATTACCACTAATTGTAATGTTAAAAAGTTAACTTTTTAGGTGATAAAAATTACACTAATCAAGATGTTCTAAACATGTTTCATACATATGGGGGGTGGAAAAGTATTAAAAAGAACAATATGAACTTTTAATAAGAGGTATCCCAATCCTAATAACATTACAATTAGTGGTAATACAGATATATTAGTAAGACGAACCATTTGTCAAAAAACCATTTAAAAAAAAATATATCTCACAAACTTAAAAAAAAATAATTACCATTTCTAAAATTTTACATAGAATTTAAAAATGCAATAATATTTATATGGTTCCTTTTGAAAAACCAAAGTTAATATCACTTCCGGTTTAACCGGAAGTAATAACACATTAAAAATAATTTTAAAAAATAGTTTACATTGCCTTATAATTGCTATACAAATTATAGGTCAGGGATGGCGAACCTTTTTTAGTGTGCGTGCCAAAAAACTATAAAAAAAAAATAAAATTGTAACGTGCCACAAGTAAATTTTTGTAAGTGTTATGAAGATGAAAGTATACAAAAACATTATAAAAAAAAGTAAATCATGATTTAGAAATTTTTTTATACATTGTATTTTAAGAAATAAATTTAGTCTCGTTTTTTTTTCATTAGATTATATCTGTACCGTACGATTTAGAAGAAATAAAAGATCTAAATCTAACAAAGATGCATACTGAAAAATAGATGTTCATAAAAATTGTAAATAGGATTATTACTAAAAAGGTTCTATGTTGTAAATTTCTTGAAATGGCATTTTTATTTTTTATAAAAATATCCCATTTTGTTTAAAAATTCATAGTTCTTTTTAAAATCATTATTGTTCAAGAAATTTAAGTCTGTATAGTATCAAAATCTAGCATATTCTTAAGTTAAACTTTGTAATAAAAGATTAAAAGCTTTACAAACAAAGAAGTTTTATCGTTGTTTATATTTAACACCTAGATAAAATTCTAGCGATATTTATTAAAGATTGTAAAATTTGTCGCTTATGATTACAAGGCTAACATAGACATTAAAGTTTACGGAGTTTAGTTATAAGTTATGTTTTAATTGCAAATTATTAAACTTAAAAATTAGCCTAAGATGAACAAATTTTGTTCTCAAAACGTGCCAATAAAAATTTAAAACGTGCCACTCATGGCACGCGTGCCATAGGTTTGCCATCCCTGAGTTAGGTGAAATATGTAAGGTGCACCTTGTATATTTAAGATATTTTAACTGAATAATAAAAAATGCAATATTAAATTTTAAATATACGGAATTCTTTAAACTATTGAGTCTATTTTGATTCAGGTTTTTGTTAAAGCATCCTGCAATTGATTTTTATACAAATATGCATATATTTATATAGGCAACCCAGAATGCGTCAGATTTATTCCTTTATTTATTTAAAAACAATAAAAAACAAAACATCGGTTTTAACAATCAGCACCATCTTTTTGCTATTATTTAAAACAACTACATAAAATTCTAACCTTTATTATTGCTTTTTATTTGGTCGAAAGAATTATTAAACAATCGCAGTTTTTTGCTGTTGTGGTTATGATTTGCAATAAAATATGCTAAAACTTTCAGATGATGCTGATTATGTAACATCGCCTGGAGAAAGGCATTCATAACCGAGTAAACCGTACATTTGAAGTAATTAGTTGGTCAACAACTCACATACCTTTTTACACTTCCAAGACCGAACTGAACTGATTGAAAAGTCGAACAAACTAAAATTCATAAGTGTGTAAGTAAAACGATTGTCGACTGGCCTGTTGCTAAGTTTGTTTTAGTTTTTATGGTTTCGCTTTAATGTCTGTAGAGGGCGCTAGGTGCGCTGCGGTACTGCGCCGTGCGTATCTTGCGCGTGACGCACTCGTAGCAGCACACGTACGCCAAACATCACTTGAACAGGATGCGTCTGAAAGCGCGCCGGAAGTCCTTGTTGAAGATGGTGTAGATCACCGGGTTCAATGCGCTATTCATGTATCTAAAAAAAAAAAATAGAAATTTAAAAAGTTGTTAATTTTAGATAGAGTGTAACAAAGTTACTTTTTCCCTATCCCTACCCTGTGTTACAGAATCCCGATTTAAATGATTTAATTCACGTAAGTCATAAACAACCCCGGAATAGCCCATATGTAGCGCTACCACCGGAATGACCCGTATGATAGTCAAAGCGCACAGCAAAAAGTAGCAAGATTGTTTACTTGTGCCCTTCCGCGAAATTCCTTTTAGCGTTTTTATGCGGAGCTTGACACCGAGAGCACCATCGTATCATAAAATTTGCCACAAAGCCGTGATTGGCCAATCCTGACATCATGCTGGAGAAGCGCGCAGCCCGCCATAGGAGGGAGACCAGAGGGCATATAAGCGGGAGCAGCGCCTTCGAAGGGATCACTTCTATCACTTCTGAATTACTTCTGCAGCAGCCGGGACACCGACCGACCGTCCAACCGTCTGACCGCCAAAGATAACGTAAGTTGTTGTAACTAATCTTCTGTTTGTTTGTTTGTTTCAGAAACTCCACTTTTATTTTCGTATTATTCATTGTAAAGTCATATTCCATTTTATTTATTGTTTTGTACATACGATATATGTATTAACCGAACCACGCCATTTATTCTTAAATTCCCCGGAACCCTGGAATTTTATCTCCACTGTTGACCCTAAAAGCTACCCTCGCACATAGTGGAACTTCAACCACCCATTGAAGTTGGCGCCCGAGATTTTATTAGAAAGTCAGCAAGGTAAGTGACGCCAAGCCTAAAAAAAGGAAAGATTTCCCCCCTTTTACAAGAGGGTGACGCAGAATGAACCTTATGGTTTTGACAAAGGTTAGATACGCATCGCTGAAAGGGCTACTTAATAATCAATATTATTTTACATTGATTTTAAAAGTCATAAAGTAATTAAATTGCATCGACAACATCTTTGTTACATTTGATGGAATAATTTTTATTGAATTGTAATAAAGCATTAAAGTAGTACATGATAGACGACATTTCATAAAACTTAATAAAACAGGCAGCGCAGCCAGTGTATCAATAAGCTGTAAAATTTGATATTGAAAAGGGATCTATTATAAGATAAGATGGACAAGCTCAACTGCAAGATCGATGTTCTTTAGCGCAGTATGTTGGGTTTGAAGAGATGTTAAATGACTTTTAATAAAACTCTATTGAGTCTTCATTTTCGTTTTGTTCCATTTACTCTGACTTTTGTTGGATTAAATTTCGTAGTTGATATTATTGGAAGACTTGAATTAGAACGTCATTTATTTCGTTTTAAATCCGACTGAAATATAGAGACACCACTCATACATCATAGTAAAACTAAAATAAAATACTGTAATGGTTCAGTACTTTAATACGTTTTACAAATTTATTTTAAAGTAAAATTTATATTTTCTAAATTTTGGTGTTAAAGGCAAAAGGCTTAGCAAAAAGTGTTTGTGTATTTTCCAAGGTTAGCTCTTAATTTAAGTAATCATTATCACTAAGATTTAAGTTAATTGTTTAGTTGTTTATCTACGTTTAGCGAATTTTACTCGAAATTTACACCATTTCTTTTAGCTATTTTTACAAAATGTTCTTTGATTTTAAGTTTACGATGTAATGTCATCAGATTATTTGCAAACACTTTAAAAGAAACAATTCCTAATCATGTTATCCTTGACTACTTCATAGCCGAACAGGTTTTTTTCTAGCTCTTTTTTTCTAGTCGTATCTTCCTAAAAGCCAACCCTTGCTTGTTGAAAAACGTTTATAAAGTAAATAAAATTGGGGTAAACTAAACACTGTTTTTTATTTTTTGTATACCCAATTCTCCCAAGTGTGCTCTCCGTTCTCTCCATACACAAAATCGAAGGCCGTCATTGACCAATCCAATCCTTGTTTCATCTGAGAACAGATCATTTGAGCATTGAGGCTATAACTAGTTTTGGTATCTTAAGCCCATTCTAACCGCGACTCTCTGTCTAGGCATTAACCTGGGCACTCGTAAATAGTGATGGGTCGTGATTTTGGTAACGTGATTTTGGAACGTTATTTTTAAATCACGTTCCGGAACGTTCCTAAATATATCGGAACGATGTGACAGCGGATCGAAATGAATAGAAACAGAGAATCCGACCATCGAATGAGTGAACGGAGCGAGTGGGAAGGGAACGACGTGAAACATGGAACAGAACGAACGTCGCTAACGTCGGAACTGTTTAAAGGCGCAGTTACCTCGTTTCGTCTTGTTCGACTTTCGCGGCGCGCCGACTTGAGCTGAACTTTATCGGTGCATATAACCAATATAACGAGGCGGGTGGAATCGTTCCGCTGGAACGGTGCATAAAAAATTAAATTTGTTAGGTAGGGTAGATGGAATCCAATATACCTAATATTGTACAATTATGAAACTATAATACCAAAAGTTACTAAGAAGGTTTTTTCTTACTAGAGAATCTTTATTAGAGATAGACAAAACATTCAAGGAATTAACAGGTTTTTGTGTATTAAAGGGGTCCCAAGACGTTTAAAAAATATTTTGCTCAATATTACTGCACAAAAAATTGATTATTGTCCCTAGGCAATCAGAAAATATAAATAAATTAGGCAATATTGTCAACACACTGTTAAGTAAATTTCTTAATACAACATATTGTGCAATAATATTGATAGTGTAGGGACCTCCTTAAACCTTATAGTGTATAGCAAAAGTTACAATATTTAATTTTGGTATTAAATTTGTTATGGTGCAGTCAACAGAACTGAGAGGCGCGCCAGACAAAATGTAGCCCAGCAACGTCGCGTCGTGTCATGGATTCCACTCGCATGTATTGTGAAATCATTTACCCTACGTTCCGAAATCACGTGATTTTGGTACGTGAACGGAACGGTTTGGTACGTTCCGGATTGGAAACCGTTTTTTTCATAACTACTAGTAAAGGTCTTCCACAAAGCAAACCCGATAGAATTACGCGTCTTCTGGCGGTGGCATTAGAAATAAGTTGGTGGTATAAGCCTACTACTGCCTTCGAGGACTGTTGATTGTGATGGACCCGTTTCTCCTAGTTATGTCTACTTTCTACAGAACGCGTCTCATTATCAATCAGCTATTCGTCGATCTGACGGACATTCTTTAAAGAAAAAGATTATTTTTAAACGAATTTTATTGCCAAGTTGAGCTCTAGGCATTTAAAAGAGGATTTTCAACACTATTGATGTTATGCGACACGTTTAAGATTGTGAAACGGATTTACTTCTTCGGTTTTTACGGTAATTTTTATAGTTCATAACAATTTTTTAAAACTGAGTGTAGAAGTAAGGGTCTTATAAAGGTTCTAGAAATTGATACTTACCCTAACCAGAACACAATGCTGAAGGCAATTCCAGGAATATCGTAGGCCAGCCTGAGTATGTACAAAAAGAAGAACGGCAGCCAGCAGGCGATGAACGAGCCCATAATGAGTCCCAAAATCAGGGTGGCCCTTTTCTCCTTCTTCCTCGCTATCCGTCGCTTCTCGCGCTCGGGATCTCTCGGCTTCTGGACGCGAGGCACCGGCGCGTGCTCGGCGGCGTTCGGGCTCGCCGCCGCCGCCGACTTGTCGTTTCGTTTCGTTCGCTTCTTCTCGTGCGGCGGCTTCGTCGCCGCCTTCGACCGCCCGAAGATCGGCTTGCACAGCCGCAGTTTGAGGGGCTTCACGGCGGTGCACTGGGCCACGACGCCCGAGTCGCTGCTGCTCGGGTCGAACTCCGACACCATGTCGGCGTCGATGCCGATCGAGGGTTGCCGATTGCGCGATATCGTCGCGGCCTGCTGCTGCAGCTCGCCGTTCACGGACAGCGTCGAGCCGCGGAACTGGCTCGCCGCCAGGAGGGGGTTCCTCGCCGTTTGCGGGGCTGAACTGCCAAAAACCTGAAACAAAATAGATATTTCAAAAATATTGCAGCGAAGTTACTTTTTCCCTATTCCCAGCCTGTGTCATAGAATCCCGATCAAAATGATTTAATTCACGTAAGTCATAAATAAAGATGGGATATTTAGGTACTAAAAACTGAAAAACAGGTAACTAAAAAGGTAATAAAAATTGCATTTTAGGTAAAAAAAAACGGGTGACGTTCATAATATCGAAATTCACTTTATCGAATTCAAAATATCGAACACTTTTTATCGAAAATCAAAATATCGAAAATACAAAATGTCGAAAATCAAAATATCGAAAATACAAAATGTCGAAATAAAAATATCGAAATTTTATTTAATCGAATTTTCAATTTATCGAAAATAAAATCTCGACTGCTTAAAATATCGATTATAATAATTATAAAAGAGATGCGCGTTTTATAGAAATGTACTCAAACTCAACAACACAACCCAACCGACCCCGCCCCATTGCCCCCCCCCGCCCCATTGAGCAAAAAACCCAACTAAAATGGGCTAATTTATGTAATTAAAAAGTGTTTTATTTTTATCGTAACATGAATTTGCCCATTTTAGTTGGGTTTTTTGCTCAATGGGGCGGGGGGGGGGGGCCAATGGGGCAGGGTCGGTTGGGTTGTGTTGTTGAGTTTGAGTACATTTCTATAAAACGCGCATCTCTAGGAGCCAGGGAGCCAAGATAATTCGGTGCATAACCGTAACTTTATCTACAGAGGCGCCTCTGTACATATACACTTCGATTTTAATCATACATTTTAATTTTCGATATTATCATTTTCGACATTTTAATTTTCGAAATTTTAATTATTCGACATTTTCAAATCGACATTTTAATTTTCGATATTATCATTTTCGACATTTTAATTTTCGAAATTTTAATTATTCGACATTTTCAAATCGACATTTTAATTTTCGATATTATCATTTTCGACATTTTAATTTTCGATATTTTGATTTTCGACATTTTGTATTTTCGATATTTTGATTTTCGATAAAAAGTGTTCGATATTTTGAATTCGATATAATGAATTTCGATATTGTGAACGTCACCCAAAAAAAACAGCATCTTAGGTAAAAAAAAACATTAAAAGTTCAAGTTTCGTTTATAAAATAAGTAAAATAAAATATTTTTTTTATAAACTGACTAATAGTTAATTAAAGCTATAAGGAACTGAAAATATAACAGGGAATACCTGATATTTACCAAATTTACTACTTTTTATATAACTTAAAGCAAAAAGGAACTAAAAAATATGGAATACCTAATATTTACCCACTAAGTAAATTTACTACTTGATAAGAATCTTTTCTATAATTTGAGACGAAATTTTCCCCTGAGTTTTCTGCTATTTGGCCGAATTTTTCAGATTTTCTTGCGTTCTGCACATGTTTAATTGACTTTTCATGTTGATATAGGTATATGTGATTTTTGCTCAACAGATAGCTAAAATGTATATGTATAAATTAAAGAAAGATGTTTTAACATAACCTCAAAGTCCTTACAATTTTACAACAAACTCTACAAAATAAGTTTTTTCCGTCAATAGAAAATATCTTATTCTTCCCCTATATCCAACTGCTGAGTTTATTTAGAGGTTTTTCTTTGGTTTTGGGTATTTTTTATAATTTTGTTTAGCCGCATACCCAAACACCGAACATACCCACAATAAACTATTTCTATGCAATAACTGTGTTTCACTGAGTGACACTCAATACACAGAAGTTCTATGACAGAACATAAGCTCACTACAAATACGGTAACTGCAAAGAAAGTTACTGTTACAGTCTGTGACCATAAGAAAAAATTCTATACCGTTGAGTTGCACGCCGTAAAAATAGGTAACAAATAGGTAAAAATAAACTGACAAATTAAAAAATATGTAACAAAAGTATAAAAAGGTATTTTAAAGCAAAAACCTCCAAAAAAGGTAAAAAAAGTGAAAACAAGTTAGGCTCATATAAAAGAAAATCTTTTAAAACACATTTTGGCATTATTGGTTTTCAAATAGTTACATCGGTTGAAAAAAGGTAAAATAACTAAAATCCCATCCCTAGTCATAAACGACCCCGGAATAGCCCATATGTAGCGCTACCACCGGAATGACCCGTATGGTAGTCAAAGCGCACAGCAAAAAGTAGCCCGATTGTTTACTTGTGCCCTTCCCCGAAATCCTATTACAGCGTTTTTTTACGAAACTCGACAACGAGAGTATACCGTCGAACCATAAAATTTGCAACAAAGCTAACCTTAACGTGATTGGCCAATCCTGACATCATGTTTGAGAAGCGCGCAGCCCGCCATAGAAGGGAGACCAGAGGGCATATAAGCGGGAGCAGCGCCTCCCAGCAGGGATTATTCTGCAGCAGCCGGGACAGCTAGTGAAGTGCCGACCGACAGCCAAAGATAACGTAAGTTGTTGTAACTAATCTTCGGTTTGTTTGTTTGTTTCAGAAACTCCACTTTTATTTTCGTATTATTCATTGTAAAGTCATATTTCATTTTATTTATAATTTTATTGTTTTGTGCATACGAGGGGATATTTCAATATATGTTTTAACCGAACCACACCATTTATTCATAAATTCCCCGGAACCCTGGAATTTTATCTCCACTGTTAACCCTAAAAGCTACCCTCGCATATAGTGGAACTTCAACCACTTTAAACCCATTGAAGTTGGCGCCCGAGATTTTATTAGAAAGTCAGCAAGGTAAGTGACGCCAAGCTTAAAAAGGAAAGTTTTCCCCCGGGAAATAAAACCCTTTTACAATATTTACCTTTGATTAGAATTATAATAACAATAAATAATCTTTATCCAACACATGACAGTATGTCTATCATTATTAATGTCATTTTATATAAGTAAACTATCAAATAACACACTAGTTCATATATAAAGTAGTATTCTATTTATTTATTACTATTACAAGCAGAATTTACATTGATATTAAAATTAAAGGAAAACGCTAACGGTTTATTAGAATTTGAAGTCATTGTAAAATTCGTTGGTTCATTGGAACCAGGCGCTCCCATATCGGTACAGCTGCTGATAGTGCTGGAAGACGCCGACGCATTAGAACCTTTTATTTTTTCTGCAATTTGTATTTTGTTATGGACCGATTCTACTAAGTATCCTTCTGCTACCATCGAGGACTTCCATCCTCCGTGACTCTTCAAAGTAGTCATTTTAGCCCCTGCATTGGCCAAAAGAGTCGCCGAAGACCTTCTCAGGCAGTGACCGGTGTAGAGCGCTGGTTCCTCCAATTTCAAAAACATTGCAATTCTTGAAGATATCTTCTACAACGTATTTATTCCCACACACTGGCTGGTACACCTCCCATTTTTGTAAAAAACAAAAAAAAGCGGCTAGAACTAGTATTCTTTGGTCTTAAAGATATGTATTTTTTACACAAATTGATTGGGTTGACTGGAAATCCTTCTTCAAGTATGGTAAAACTTCTCAATTTCTTGGTTTTATTGTCTGACAAAACTACCTGAAAATATTTTCCTCTGTCTTGAATATTTTCTATTTTCAAATTGACCAATTCATCGCATCTACAAGCACCGCTAATCCCCATTAACAAAGCCACAGTCATCAACAGGTACTCGTCGTCGGGAGCTTCGTTCAAAAACATCTCTATTCCAGGTCGTTCTAATGTCTTGGACTTCTTTGGTTTGTATCCCAGTGATTTGCTTTACAAAAAGCTCGTTAGTTTGCCATATTTTGAAATGTCGATTTTTTTCGAGTATCGAGCATTTGGTCCATAGCGACGATGGGGCTAATTTTTTTTGCAAATGTAAAAAATAAGCCAATAGAACATTTTCATCGATATCTTTTATCTTCCGTGAATTCATCCAGGACTCAAACATTTTGAAGTCCTTGTCGTAAGCATCTCGGGACTTTTCTGGCAAAATCTGCATCGCTGCTTCTTCCGCTTCCGTAAGGATATCCTCAGGAACGTAATTTTCATCGGTTTCCTTTATTTTATATACGTTTTTTTTCTTCAAAAAAGCTTCCCTTTTCTGCAGGGAAAACTGTGTCAAAATTTATTTAATCATTTGCTAACAATGTATCATGCCCGTGGCATACCAAACAAACAACCTCTTTGACCAAAATGTAAAAAAGTCACTAGTCATTTTTGAGTAATTTATTTTTATAGAGTTAAAAATATTTTATGAGATTGTTCTTTATATAACAAAGCAAAAAGATAAAGAAACTAAATTAGGGGTGGACACTAATTTATTCGATTTAGACCTTGCTTCTGCCTTTTATTTGTCTCCCTTTTTTGTTTACCCAATGGAACAGAAAGTTTTATACTAAATCCATCAAAAACTTTCTAAGCAGCAAAAAGATGAATTACTCAAATAAATGATGTGATTAATATTACTGCAAAAATAGAAACTTGGTGTATTGATTTTGCATCCTAAATTAACAAAAGATCCTGTCATCGCCAGAGGGATTTCGTCCTATGAATATATTGACGTTAAATATTAATTAGGCTTTAAAGATTCCAAATAAATAATAATATAGTTTTAACAACATTTTTTAAATTGCACAAGTGTACATAAAATGTTTAACAAACTGCCAGTGTTTACAAAAATTAATTATTGCTTACCCTTAAGGGCAACGAATGCATTTTGTTAAAAAATATTACTTAGCATTCTGTTTTTTCGATTTTTTTCACAGGAAAAATTAGATGCCCGAATGGTATTTGACAAGACTATTTCATGAGTAACAATTATTCTGTATACTTATAGCTTATAAAACATACTACCTATTATTCATGCATACATAATAAATATGTAGGTATTAATTTGAAAACTGAAAAATAGGTAATTTATTTAATCACAAAATACTACAAACTTAATTATTTATGGTACAATTAAAATAAAAATTGCAATTTTTGGTGACAACAGCTGTCAAGTTTTGCCGCGGGTAAACTCTAAAAAACTGCTGACAGGTGCTGTCATACAGTT